CTTAAGCAAAGACTGGAGAGGCCCCCGGTCGAGATGTAGTAAGTAGGTCTCCAATACTGGGAGACTGAGGAGAATGGGAGTTTGTGGGTTGAGGGTGGCATGCTCCCCAGGGCCCTCTTTTTTGAGATAGGTAGGGTAATGCATTTCAGTATGAATTTGATCCAGCAGTGTAAACCTGAGATTTGCAAGAGTTGGCTTCCGCTGATTTTGATTATTAAGCGTAACGAGACTAAAGGAGTCGTGAAGCGAGTCGGAAAGAAAGAGGCACATCAAAAGGTCTGAAATAAGTCTAGCCTGCCTTGCCTGTTAGGTAGGTAGGGTTTCTGACTTTTGCCGGTATATCAAGAGACAGTTTTTGATTCCTGATGTGCTCTTACGAAGGAAAATAGGATTGCTCACTTTTGCCGGTATATCAAGAGCGAAGTCCTTGCCTTCTGCCCTAGCTTTCCAACAAGCAGTCAACCTGCCCGCCTATCTTATTTAGGACATTCCTACCTCTAGGTTATAATGATGAGCAGATGTCAACAAGACCAGGCGTACTGCACCCGAGCCTCAGGATTTTGCGCTTTACAGCACTTCTTGGTGACCCCGTATCGAATAAAAGAAATAAAGGAATCACTCTCGATGTAGGATATCTTTCAAGTCAAGTCAAATCTCGAATAGCACAAGCACAGACATCAAAGCTGCTGTTGGCCCGTGCGATTGCCCGTATCGCGTCTGGAATGTCTGCGGAATCGTCCATTTCCCCAGTTGCCTTAGACCCTCATAAGTCAACTCCTCTTGCAAAGCAAGGTACCGGTGACTGCTTTAGCTTTCACTCTCATTCCATGGGACCGCCTTCAACACATAAGCCGACCCACCTCTGCCATAGCAGCATTCAACCATCTAAGAAAGATGTTCTGTTTGGCTGGAGAAGACGTCTACCTCAACTACAAGGGTTCTGTCCCCCCCTCAATCAAATAAGACTTTTCCGTCCCACAACGAATCTAAAGATTCTCCTCCCGAAAATACATGAAATAGCTTCTGCTGAAGCAAATTCCATCCAGAAGGTTGCATTTGAACCAGTCGGAAGTGCATAGCTGTAGGCACTTTCCTAAAATCTAGGATCTATTGAGAACTACGAAGAAGTGATTTCAAAATTTTTGTGGAATGGAAGATCCGCTTGAAGTTCATCCTTTGTTCATCCATCCGCTCTACCTCGACCTCGAGAAATAGAGAACAGGAAGGCTGCGCCCCTCTATCGGCAACTCACTAGAATCCTCTATTACGGAGCAAGTATAGGTGCCAGGCTTACTAACCTAGGAATGAATCTAGGTTCAGAAAGGACGTAGGCTACTGAGAACGAACTGCACGTGAGTGATTTCGCCGTCATGTGATACAGGTGAAAAGCTTCGGAGTGAAGGAATTCGACCACGCACTGTGAGTTGGGTGAGCGGTGGGTCTCAGTACCATGGCTTTTAATGGCCTTCGATGCTTGTTCATTTCTTGGGAAGAAGCCCTAACCGGATAAGAGGGATTCAAAAACCACGTATAGATAGAAGAGAAGGCTTGCAGACCTATCTTTTTTGTTAATATAAGGGTGTGCAGGTGCCCCAATGTCTCTAATATGGGATTTGGCTGGATCTACACGATACCCATATCCAAAATAGGGCTCCAAGCCGGGCTGCTTCATTCAAGTCTAGGGTCGGGCATTGATGGGTTCCATATTTCTCTTCGACACGGACCAAGACGGGAAAGAAGTTACCAATCTGAAAGACCCAGTGAGCACCTCAGTCAAACAAGATCGATCGCTTCGCTCCCCAATGCCAAGCCGGTCAAGAGAGAGCCTTAGTGAAATAGGCAGCAACTGGATGTTACAAGACCCGAGCAATCACGAGATCGAGTTGTAGTCCACTTCGACTTTCAGTCTCGTTTGTGGATCCTGCGATTAGAATATGAACTTGGTACTGGACTTCGTGCCTTCACTCAAGCTGGTTCGTTCACCAGATCTACTTTCTCGACCATTTCAGGGGTAGGCGGCAAGTGCTGCAGTGAGAGATGAGACCACCTTTTAGGCAGTCTTCGTGCCATATTTTCTATCAGGTTCCCCTCGATTCATCAAGAAAAAAGATGGGCAGGTTAGTGATGAAAGGACTTCCTTCCTGACGGTGGGAATAGGGGAAGTGATTCCCCTACGTCTGCAAATGATAGGGGCGAAGTCACTCGACTGAAAGGAAAGATCGTAAAAGTAGCGTAGAACCCTCTTCCTTCGGGTGTACTTGTCCTATCGAACAAACTTCCTGTAAGGAAGGAATTTCTTTCTATTCTATAATACAGAGAAAGAAAGCGGGAAAGAAAACTCACTGGGGAGACGCTTGATTCGCTGCAAATCAGAGTGTAAGAAAGCAAAGAAGAGAAGTCGACAAATAAGCTGCTAGTGCTTGAGTAAGCGGCGTGAGAGTATCCAGTCCTGGGGGAAGAGAAGCTCTAAGCGTACCCGCAGTTCACGTACCAGCTCTTAGAAATGTTCACGTATCCAGTGCTAGTCTTTTCTGTTCCAGTAAGAGTAGTTGGAGGACTAGCTAGTGAATTAGCTGTTAGGGGCAAGGCGCTTGACCAACGGGAGAAACTAGGTTCCTCCTACCTGTTAACCGCATAGAACACACTGGCATAACAACAACTCGGTATTGATCCAGCCTGGTTGAGACAAACAACCTCGGACAGTCTCATGCTTAACACAACAGGAACTCGGACATCGCGCGGCCATTGGTCAAGATCTCCCCTGATGGACATCATTACACATTCATTCAACGCTTCCCCGGCGGGGTAAGAAAGTAAGATTGAACTACTGAATAAGAGAAGCATTGTGATTTCCTTGATTTAAGGACTTTAGCGTCTCATTGCGGAAGCAGAAGTTCTTTCATTCCTCATTCACTTCTAGGACTTGGGTTAGAGAGGGGGGAATATAGTAGTAAATAAATCAAGTAGAAGTGCAGTTCCTATTTATCAGCTCAGATTAGAGCACCAGCTGTTATGCTGACAACCCCCGTTACGCCGCGCTTGAACTCCTAGCCCTAAGACGGAGTAGTCTTAGTAGCAGTAGGATTACCGGATTCCGCTTTATGTCTTTCTTTCTTACTTTCCCTAAGCACTCATTGTATTTGAATTTGACCCGCTCAGAATAGCTATGTATCCGGTCTTGGGAGTCAAATAAGGGCATGGCTTAGCTCCCTAGCCTAGGGTGAGGTCTCATAATAGAGTAAAGTAGGACAGAAGGATTAGCTTAGCAGTGAACTGAACAAAAATCATTCAATCAGCTCAAGAGCTGGGAGTTCTCCTTCTAGGTTTCGGAATAGAAGGAAGGAGGCTCCCAGGAGGTAAGTCCTGCTTGATTGCTTTCACCAGGTTTATAAAGACTGGTTCGAAAAGGACCAGGTCGGGATAGGCTGGGAGTCGATTAGCCCGAGTTGTGTTAAGATAAGTGGCACTTGAATTTGAAGTAGACATCGGCCAGGTCTTGGATGCTGAATTATCGGTCTTACCACTTGTATCGATAGACCCACTTGAATTGAATGCTGAGGTCCTGCCTGATCTTCGAACTTTCTCTCTGCAAAAGGCTTCTGGCAAAGCTTGAACATCCGTATCGTTAGCTCCTTTTAAAAAGGAAGACAGAAGAGCTGGTAGGACGGACTAGTAAGGAATTGAATTCCTTATTACTTATGAGTGGAGGGCTTCGCTTTTTTCTATAACTGTCACTGGAACAGAAGGCCTAGTACTCCAATTGGCTTAAGTGCACTCCCAATGATATTATAGTCTTCTTTCTTAATAAAATATGGATATTATCGTGGAAAGAAATCTATCTCTTGAAGGGAGTCCAACTTCATTCAGTTTGATCCCAAGAGACGGTATGGAACGCTCGTATAGAACCCCATCCAATAGAACTCAAACCGCTGGGAATGCAACGGGATGGATGTCAACTGGTAAGAGTAGCCTTGGTCTGGAGATCTTTACAACAGGAGATCAGGAGTTAGCTCGCTTGGACGGAGAGCACGAGAAAGAAGGGGCAGTCTAACTGAACTCCACTCGTTTAGAAGAAGCCTCGCCAGTCAGGGGGATAGGGAAAATTTCTTCACAGCATGAAGAAAAGAGAGGGATTCAAAAAGGGCTGGCTCCTTTTAGAAGGGATTTGAGTGCTTTAGACTAAGAAGTGAGATTAGATAGGCTTGTCTTAGGATTTGATGCACATTCAAGGGCAACTACTGCTTATGGGTAGGCAGGCACCTAGTGCTACAATGGCTGTAACAGATTCAGAGATTACATTTTCCCTTGGATACACACCACACATTGATTGGATTTGAAAGGTACGAAGGGTCCATAACGGACAGGAACTACAACTATTGATACTCGGTCTAGACTAGGGGGGGGAAGGCACTGCCGGAAACGGGACTGCTGTACTGTAAAGGGGTTACCGTCGAAGGGAAGGACAGATATAGGCAGACACTTCCAAAAGGCGGAAGCATTGGCTTTTAGGACGCACTCAAACTTCCATTAAAACTCCAGGTGGCAAAACCCAACTCCATCCAATAAGAAAGAGGAATGTGCTAACGCCAATAAGCGTATAATAAAAGGACTAGAACTGGCTGAAAGCACTTACCACTAGAAATAAATGGGCCTGACAGAAAAAGTCAAACCCCTCCTCTCCCTCTCGCAAGAAATGCTCGAGTAAGAACTCTCCTTTCAGTCGAGTCATGACTTCGCCCTCAGGTGGGAGGAGAGAAACTGTACAGGACATAGCTTTCCGTCTCTTTCTTTCACAAAAAAATGAACCACCAAAAACTGTAGATTTCTTTTTTTGAAAAGACAACGTGAAGAGGAATAGATCAACAAAACAAAGAAAGGACAGGAACAGGGGTTATTGCAGAATTGGGTTCGAGTCCCAGGGACGCAATGTGGCTGCTTAAAAAACTGATTCAACGAGATATAGATATGTCCCCATTAAGATTTCAAACTTGTCGTCTACA